CTCATCGTATGCTCACATTATCCAAATCATATCTTCAGAGATGCGAACAGCTTATTGTAGTTCACGAAAATTTCTGAACGATTCCACCCTTTACGACAATCCTTTTCTCGATACTTCACATAAGCACTCACTCAACGTACTGTATCAAAATCCTCTGAGCTCATAGTGCAACAAGTATCTAAATCTTATTGATACTCTTCAGTTTCTTCGCTGATCTCCTGAAAAGTGTGAAAATAAAACTGAACGTTCAATTTTGTTTATTCTTTCGTCTCACAACACAACAATTCGCCTAATATGAATCAAATCATCAATAAATTCACATATGTACATATATATAACAAAAATGAAACGATCAAATGTATACAAAAATATAGTAAAACACAATCGTAAACGTACACCTCAATCTGAACGAAATACACGAAATAACAATTTCAAGCATGAACAATTAAGTGAAAATTAGCTATAGAGCAGTGAAAGAACGTCGTAATCAAACAAGTAAACTGGTATCGTTAATGATCGGAATCGTTGAAGGCGGTGGCACACCTCGAGGTTCACACTCATACGCCATTAACCGAAGCGAGTTCTCATTCTCGTGATAATTTCGTGCAGAGCATCGGCGTGTTGATACTGTCTGAAATGAATGAATAAAACGAAAGTAGCAGTTCATATGATGGATTGTTTTAGACCGATTCCTTCAGTAGACGATTCATAGTACTTAACCTACAGACTGGTGAAATCCTTCGATCTCGTGGAATATTTCTGAAGTTCGAAATAAATCTCTCACGAATAGACACTTTCAAAAAATTGCTCTTCACGCCAGAGCGGGTGGTAATCTCAAGGAATCTAATTGTGTCTTTCCAAAAACTAACAAAGTCGGTCCAAATCTCGAAGTTTCACATAATCATAAGTATCATATGAGGCAATCTCGATATTGCATCCTCAACTCTAGTTATCAGACCAGATTTCTATGTAACTGAACGAACGATCGAAAACTGACTTGTTTTGTACTACTACGATAAATCGGCTCATAAGCCAACGGGATGCCAGCATCTCTTTGAGGATCATATGGAGCGACCGTGGGCAGGGGATCGCATAAAGCTGGTTCATATCCGATGTGGGTGCGACAGGATTTCGGATCTGTTTGTTGTCGCTGCTGCTGCTGCTTCTGCTGCTGGTGATACTGCTGCTCCTGGTGATACTGCTGAGGAGTGGATATTCGCAAAGAATCTTGCTTATCCATCGCTTCTACCGTATTCACACTAGTTGCGTAACCATTCACCATACGAGTGCTCGAGTCTTGACTCCAGTCAGAAGTTCCCGAAGAGTATCTATAATCCGTTACCGGATTGCTTGCTGTTGACGGCAGTTCGGGTAGACGTCGAGATGCATAATTCGCTTGAGTGCGATCAATTGATGGTGCGAGCATTTTTGGCACGGCTGATGACTCCTTCAATTGAAATGTTCTAACAGTACTGAATACAATCAACCACTACACAAAATAACGAGAAAGTAATCAAAAAGTAATCTAAAAACACTGCCCATATATTTCGCTCTGAAAAGCGATTCCTGCGTACAAGATGACTTGAGAAGAGCACTCAGAATTAGGAGAGTATTCCCGGATGAATTACCTGATTATTGGACGATGAAGATGGTGTTGCAACCGATGCTGTTGGAGACTTCTTCTGTGCTTTCGGTTTAGCAATTTCATAAAAGCCGTTGTTACTGCTATCCACTTCCTCATCACCGAAATGTTCACGTACTCGAATCAGTGTATTGCTTTTTGGATCGAATGAGACCAACGATGTGAGATTACTGGCCGAACAACGTTGTGATGTTGAGCGATCACCGAGCGCGCTTGATGCCGACAACTGTAAATATTTAGCCATTTGTGGGTGCTCTTGGAATTTTTTGAGTGTTTTCAGAAAAAAGATAAAAGAGAGCACAGCACCACTAACCACCTGTTCATGCGATAGCATACGACGAACTCCTTCGGTTGCCGGCAACTTGAAACTCTTCATACTGCCACTTCGCTGCTTCGGTTTCGCGTACGCGTCCTCGTAATCACTCATCCAATCTTCATCCAAATAACTCGATCGCGTACGACCTGACATCAAAAATATCTGGATTTGCTCGAGATACTGTTCAATCGTTTGGCACAATCCAAACGTTTTCATATTTTGCAGTGAAATTTCCAAACTTACGTCCAGGAATTTCCCGGCAACTGGATCTCGATAAACGTCCATTGTTCGTCGACAACCCACCACCAGCTTCAACTGTCGTGGCTGCTGAGTACTCGTCACTGTTTCGTTGCTTTAACAGTTCAACAATTAAACTCATGACACGAATTGTGCTGAACTGATCAGTCAGTCAATGAATAACTGATCAATCAATAATCAATATTGAGACAACCACTCTAATTTGGCACTTTCTATCGACAGACTAACGAAGCAATAAGAGTTGAGTTACTGGGATGAACATGAAATCAGAATCTATTTCTGTTCTCAATTGAAATACGCCGGTTTGAAAAAAAAAATCAAGGAGTAAGGAGCGCTTTTAGAATTTGCTGAATTCCTTCTAAAATTTGCTGACTTGATAGACTACAGCCGATGCGGAGCTGGGAGGTCTTGGAGCACGTATACGAGGACGACGGGCCGACTGCCGAACGTAGCCGTTCTGGGGACGTGCCACACCACTCAGCGCAGCCTCATAATCCGTACTTGTACCAGCATCATATGATGAGTTCATGTAGGCACTTCTGTAATCAGAGTTGCAGCTTATCGTTTTGAAGACGATCTATNCATAAATTTCAAAACACACTAAAATCTCCTCCGTAAATCCTAAATCATAAACTCACGCAGTATTGGGAACTGGCTCTATCTGCAGTGAGTTCTTCATGCGCGATGTACCGTTGGCTCCATTTGCAAATTCTACAGTGATTTTTGGTTGCTTCAAACAATTTCTTTCCGTGTACCTATAAAAAATGAAACTGAAACAATTTCTTTGTGCATACTGCATTCATTTGTTCATATCACTTCACTATTACTTGATAGTTACTATCGAATGACCTCAGATCGGTTTCGATTGAAAGCCAACAAAACAACGAACCTTCTGCGAGCTAAACGTCCGTAAAGCATGATAATCGAAAGAACGACAGTGATTACAGCTAGTGCAACGTGCACAAGTGCTTGAGCTGATTCAATTTGGTTGTATGGTACGAAACACGGTTGTTGAACCCATAGTGAAGTACTCAAATTGAAATGTGACTGACACAGCGGCGTGTGCCGAAGGAAGAAACTGAAATTTAACAACGGCCACATTGAGATTCTTCCAAACTTATTCATTCTA